GACGTGATGGAGCCATGTGAGACTGCAGCCTCCCGGTCCGCCGAATCACGATCCTTTGAGTGATCCTTCGGAAACTTGGCGAACCACATCTTTCAAATCCTCTCGTCTACCGCATCATCGTAGTTAGCACTTTCGCTAAATTCGACTGAATCTCCTGCATTTTCACTTTCAACAAATTGATACACAAACGAGACTTGGTTAACCTACGACCAGTTGGTAGAAATTAGTTCCTATGAGAAACGAATTTGTAATAAATGGTATCTAGAGCATTTCTAGTGCTATGAAGACATGAATTTTGCATCAACACGGCTACATTTCAACACAAATTGGAAACAAGATGACAACGCCTTCGAAATTTCCATCCTCGTTTATCTATCCGAAACTCCCAACACGGTTTGTTGGACACTTGCTCAAACTCGCGAAAACGGTGTTGAAAAATTACCTGGCAAATCGAATTCAGGGATAACGCGAATGCCTCGGAGACGCGCGAATTCCAGGATTTCTCGGACGTCGTCGTGAGTGTAGATCATCCGGGGGTGATATGCGGCCTACAATTGAAACGTCAATGCCTTCAGATTCAAAAACGGGAATTCTCCATCGTCTCTGGATGAAATCATCTTCTAATCTTTCCCGGGATTCTAGCTATCATTGGAAGGGTCTGTGATGGTTTGTAAATGCTGTCTGCGCGCATCTTATAATAATTACGTCTGACTTCCAACGATCGTTTTTATGCACCACATAGTGTGCACGCCCAGACTGCCTCTGTCCCTATGCTGATGACATGTATATGCAAGTTACTTTTTTTTTTACCAAAAAACGCCAATATTTCGTACGCCGTTCTTAAAAATGTTTGACACACCGTTCACAAATTCAGTCAGGTGTAAAAGCGCAAAGTGCACTTGCTTAAAGAATTTATTAAACTGGTCATTTGGGAAGCGGATATGGGCGTGTCCGACAACATTTCAGAAAGGCTTTTTTTATCCCAAAACAAATCTAGACAATCAGCTGTCAGGGACGAAGTAGAGAAGATTGTTGACGAAGTGTTTGGTTATGATGGAAGGTAGTCGGTCCGATGAGCAAGCCTGGAATCCCGGATCCCCAAGTCGAGTGTTTGGCGCGTCATTTGAAAACGCTTGCGACCAATCCCCTTCTAGCATGATTTAGCGCGAAAGTTAGAAATGGATGACAAGCCGGTGTGTTAAGAGATTTGTGAAAAGGACAACATTGGAGAGATACTGCCTCATACCATGACAATAGCAAAGTAAACAGGCAATTCCACACTGCTCGACTCCCAGTTTAGTGAAAACTGACATTGACAGCGCATTACTGTGGAAATCTAATACAAAGATGGGCGGGACGCAGTGCAGGTAACAATCGTCAATTCCAACATCGTACTTTTGTTCCGCAGAACTTTTAAACATCGAGGTCCAAAAGACTTCAACACTCGAACACCGATTTGAAAAGCGGAAAATCACAAGCGACGCATTAACCGAAGGGAGTTGAATGAAAACGATACGGTTGCCAGGACAATAAAAGCACAACGTCCGTGGATTATAGCAGAGGGACCACTTTACAAGAGCGATTAATTATGGAGAGAAGAGTGCGCGGAATTAGAAAAAAAAGAGATAGTAGAGAGAGAGGGGGGAAGGGCGCCGAGCACCTTCAAAGGTGCCTGGGAAGGGCGGAAACTGCCAGCGAAACACGGCAAAGGCTAGCGCCGACACGCACCCACGTACACACACACGCACGACACCAACTCATTTGTACACCGGAGTTTGAAAAGATGACGAAATTTAATTAGGCACAAGAGGTGCAGAGGCTGTAAGTCGGACAGGAAAGGCTTTACATCTTAGTGCCGAGGTGCAAAAAACGAAGACACCAATTCAAGGGGATAACAGGACACGGCACTGTGATGAGAAGAACGGCCGCTAATGCGGCTGCGATTGGTTAAAGTGGACATAAGAAGATCAGACAAATAAGTGGAATTTAGTGTGCAATCAAATAATGGTGGGATTCCTGTTTCGAGAGGCATCATTAGTAATTTCAGTCTTGTGTGTAAGATTGCACCAATCACAGCTGACCGGAAACATCTGGTTTGTGATTGGTGGAGCCACTTTGCAAATCAATCGCATCTTAGGGCAATTCATGTTGCATCACACTGAGTTACGCTCATGTGCCGCGGCCTGACTGAGGTTACGAACATTAAAACAAGAACCCTTCCATTTAAACAGGGGAATCACCTTTGCTCATTTTTGACGAGATTTGTTAATCGCTAATTTGCTGTCTTATAAAACGGCGTCTCCTTAACAGATCGAAAAACAGCAGTAATTAAACTCAGCCGAAATACAAAAGATAGCATCAAGTTAGAGAAGAGTTGATGACGTAAACTTGGCTGAATTAAATCAACGAAAAGAAAGTGAGCTGAACAATTCAACGCAAACATCAGTTAAGTAGTAGGGTCGACAGCGCGACCGGCGTAACATATTCGCCTTGGTTTATTTCCATATAATCGATTTCAAAGTCAATCGATTCCACGTCGAATTTGCAACCGCACAATCACCTCCAATGTGAGAAGGCAGGCACACGCGAGCATCCACATCGACCCATCAGTCGACCAACACACACGCATAATCCTGGACACAATGAGTGTCTTCTTATGACTCCATCATGTGCGGTTCCATTTGCATTCACAATACTTCATGCGGACATCACTCGGTGTGCTATAGCACCCTCAGTTGTGGTTTGGGAACCAACGGACTGCCAAGTGGGTACTCCTGGCTTTGAGACCTATCGCATTCACTCTTTTTCGCTTTGAAACATTCCACGACCACATCACTTTCACGTGAGTCGAGATCCTGCAACTGGATTCGACCGTCGCGATTCTGATGGACACTGGACACCTACGATTTCGATCATAAACACACGCCAATGGAAGACTCCTGGTTCCATCACGATAATCAGCAAGTTGTATACATATATGGTGAAGAACATGTACTTTTGCGCAGAGGATGAAGCTGCCGTCGATCTCACATCGGTGGAAAGCATGCGACATCGTTGAAATTGTCAATCATACACCCCCAATCGACATGAACAAAGCCTGTCAATTACAGTGGTCACTTCTGTGTCGAATCCTATGAGGCGTGAGTTTAACAGCCTATCATATAATTCCATTGGTTTCGCTATCGTCTAGGTATTCGTGGATCCAATGCGGCAGACGAGAATCAAACTACACCAGATGATGATTTGATGACCCATAAAGAGAGTTGCAACAATTTACTCTTTCTAAATAAAATGTGCTTTCGGGGGAGTGGACTGTATTGAATGATGTCTTGTAAACAACATATCTTCCATTATAATAATAATTATTATATACAGGATTCCATAATTGAAAAAGACGTTTTCCGGTGGGCGTGGGGTGGTTTCTCATTGGTTAGCCCGATCTGGTTTTATTTTTCAACCGGGATTTCCAGTATTGGCTGGCGATTCTGCTTCAAACGCTAAACCATGGTGGTGTTTATTTCCTTTTTCTGTATTCTTATTTGTCTGGACATAACTGGGAACTGTGTGGTATTGTTAACGACCCTAAAAAATTTTCATTTCCTGTTTATAACTGACCCTTATTTTGTGTGTGCAGAAATAGCAACGTTTGTGATACTGACAACAACATTTGATTGCTTTCAATGGATGCGGGAGTAACTAGGGCCATTTTAATGAACTCAAATTAAATTACTCACGTTTTTTTCCGTGATTTTGTGCTCTTACTCAACTATGCTCCTGCCCAACTCGGAACATAACTCTCAAGGTCACAGGCCACACGCGCTTCCTCATTAGCTAGTTCGCGTGTGACGTCATTTCATTTCCCAATAGGAAGCCACTAATCGGTACCGTGGACTGATGGCGACCTGCGGCAAGCTGTCAACCCACCCCAATCATGACATCGCCGAAGCCGACCTAATCCAACTGGCAATGAACCACAGCAGATTGACCCTGGATCCAGGACTGCTGTGGGGTCGATCCGCGCACACCATGGAAGCACGCTTCCTCAACGCCTCCTCCTCATGTCCGCGCGCGCAATCTTCGAAATCCATCGATTGTGTCCAAGTGGCTATTCGTTCACTTGGTGATGATTGGCCGAGCGCTGAAATGGACGAATCATGTACGTCTTTGAATTGGCCTTCACCGTAGCGATATCTCATTTTATTCAAGTTATTTATGGCTATTTGGACTGTAAATATCTGTTGATTTATGTAGCTAGATGCCTTGGCAATACGCTGAAAATCTTAGCACTGTTATGTCATTAATTATTTTTGCTTGAAGTGCTCTTCGTTTTGGGTAGATTCTATCTTGGTAACCCCTTCGAACGTGAAGATCACCTCCAATGAAGTGTGGGGTGTTTTAAGGGCTTTCGAAACTTTGAGTCAACTCATCTGGTGCTCTCCTAGTGGAAACTTGGTAAGCACTCGCACGCTACATTTCCGAATCGAAATCATTAATTTTGATAAGAAGGTACGCTTGATGCAGAGGCAATGTGGTGTCTTAGATGTAGTATTTTCAGACTTTTCACATTGAACCAACTTCCCAAACGCTCCACGCATTTTCAGTTCTTTTAATTAAAAAATAAGAGCTCTTGTTGACTACATTCCACGAGTTTAACTTTGTGTAATTTGGGATACATGGAACCAAAAAAATTGACCAATCAGATGCTTATTTTTGTCGAGCATTGAGGGAGCTCTCGAGATGTCCATTTTGGTGTTTGTAGGCTTTCATCAACCAAACCTTCATCGAAGACTTTCCCAGCTTCCCACACAGAGGTCTCCACCTGGATACTGCGCGACATTACATGTCGAAGCGAATTATTCTCCTCAATTTGGTGTGTTTTTGGTGTTTGTGTGTATATTTTAAACTCAACTCTGGATGTCAAATGTGCCTGCCTGTGATTTGCACATAGGAGCACACCCACCAACAGTGTCCTGGTTAATGTTTTTCTAACCGAGAAGGATACCGCTCGGTGTTTTTTTGAACCGCCAATCCGCGGTTGTCTTCGTTTTGACAGAACAAAGTTCGCCAATTCTTCCTCTCACCCATCCTTCTTCCTCTTTTTTTGTCTCCACTTCTTTGGGTCTACACCAATCTCCATCGTTCTCTCCCTTCGCTTCTTCTCTATTTTCGCAACCGTCAGCTCGGCCTTGTGTTGACTAAGGGGTTCTGAAAACGTTTTCCTGGATTTTTTGCTTATTAGTTTATAGGGACTCAAGTCGTATTGACAAATATCGGATCCTCAGTTCTGATTGATCGCAAACATTCACTAGTTATTCCTCCTTTGGTATCGTTGTAACCTAGGTACTATGAATCTTCATGGACGTCAGTTGGCAGACGGCCGAATGAGAGACATCAAAATTGCTTTTTGTGAATTCAGTATAGATTGCTGAGTTATAAAAACTTGTCTGAAGGCAAAATAGGCCGATAATACCGTATTTGTTTATGAGATTTTAAACCAAGTGGTCGTGGTGTTTCGCTTTGAAGAAACGGCTTCAGTGTATATCCACCGGCATTTTTCAGCATGTCTGTTGGTCGTGGACATGTCCCGATGCTAAATGCGTGGAAGATTTTGCAGTCTGTTAGACTGGAAAGAAACGTTCCTTAATTTGCCACTGGATTAAGAGCCAACGCCTACTAGTGGACGCCAAAGTATTCTGGCTGACTGCTACAATTACTGATGTAGGGTAGTGGGAAGTGACTTGGGATCTGTTGGTTGAGGTGAACAGCCCATTCCAAATCGACTAGACCACATTTGTGTAGTGGTGTGTTGTGACTGTCGTTTGCGTGGTGCTGCACCCGCCGAAGGAATCGCTGACGAGCTGGTGTAGAATTATCGAAACTACGGCCCTTGCATTGTGTGGTTTTGTGGATTGAGGTAGGCTATCGATGCATGCAAGCAGTAGCCTAGAGACTGAACGAAGTCGGCATATGTCCACAGTTACTCACTGCCCATTGCACTCAAATAAGCGGTTCATTAAAACGTCAAGACATCGCTTTCACGGTGACACGCGTTGTCTATTCCTGACTTCTTGTGCTTTCATACCTTCCAGGAGGCGATGGCATTTAACAAACTCAACGTCTTTCACTGGCATCTCTCCGACGATCAGTCTTTCCCGTTTGAGAGCAGAACCTTTCCTGAACTCTCACAGAAGGTGAGTCAACAGTTCTGGATTTGAAAATGGTGCTTGTTATGCTCATTTTGCTTACCATCAACCTAGCCGGCAATTTTCAGGTTGTCAAAGCAGCATTCCCGACATGGACTGACATTTGGGCTTGAACTTCACCTCTATCGATAGACCCCGGTTCGAGGACACGCAAAATAAGATTATTATTTGCCGAGTTTACATTAATTGTGTTATGTAGGCTATGATTGCACTCCTCGGCTACCAGCTGAAAATCTGTTAAGGCTAACTAATGGGTATTCTCCACACTTGAGGGCGCTGGATTCATTCAAATGCAAAGACCAACTCTAGGGTGTCTCTCTGTACGACCTTGCTTTGAAACTTAAAGATCGTTCATTAAATTGTCCGATTCTGCCAACTGTTGTCGCAAAAATGACGCTGCCTTTTTCAACTTACTCGTTATGATATTTCTACATCCTCGGACTAACTTTTCAGTTAGTGGCATTGTTACTACATATACGGGAATTGTGCCAAAATTGATGCTTAAAAGCACGATCGTTCAGCAGTTAACTGCACCGCTATTTATGGAGACTAATCCACGTTGAAAACACAGAAGCATTCACTACAATTGTCGTATGCGTTCCACAGATGTCAGATCGATGACAGCTTCATCCTCTGCGCAAAAGTACATGTTCTTCACCATATATGTATACAACTTGCTGATTATCGTGATGGAACCAGGA